ATGCATTAGAATCACCTCCACGTCCGTCGTTCCACAACTCAGGGTTATTTGAGGTAACCACACCACCACTATGTGGAACCAGCTGCCCACTGAAGTATTTCCGAACCAATTCGACTTAGGATCAAGAAAAGAGTGTACCAATTCTTAAAAGGCCGGCAGCGCACTTGCATGCCTTCTGACAGTGTCCATGGGCGGCGATATCACTTAACATCAGGTAAGCCTCCTGCCCGTTTCACTCCTGTAACATAAAAAAAAGATTGATTAAAGCGCTTTAAACGCTTGACCGCGTAATTTGATACCAAATCTGACGCATTTACTATGGAGAGTGTTCAGAGGAGTTGTTCGAATTAATACCTGCAGATGAGTTTCATCATCGGACGTCGAGGCAGAATAGGAAATTCTGAATTTCTCGACGTCCGTCGTTCCACAACTGAGCGTTTGAAGGTAAGCAAGGCGAAGTATTTCCGAACCAATTCGACTTAGAAAAATAGTTTCTATAGTATTTCCTGCGGTTATTTCAGTGGCATACATTTGTTTTGTCTACGCATTATCTATTTTATCAAAAACTATTTTTCTAGCTATCAATATCTCCAAGATAATTCTATAACGCACACATAAATTGTGACCTAAAATCGTAACTAAAAGATCCAAGCAATGTTTTTAACTTTGATACCAGGGGCGGACTACTTATATATAGGTACTTTCTTTTAATATATATATTTCTTTTTTTATAGAAGAGGGGGCAAATGGGCAGAAGGCTCATCTGATGTTAAGTGATACCACCGCCCATGGACACTCTCGGTGAGGGCTCGCACCTTGGTAATAATATAATATGTGGCTAAGCGCAAAACTCGAAAACGGCTGGATAGATTCTAGTATTTTTTTTTTCCTTGAACTCTGAAGAAAGTTTTGGAGAGAGAATTGCACGGAAAAACCTAAAAAACTAGCAAATGTCCTACATGTTGGTATGTAGTTACTTTAAAGATAGTTGAAAAATCATATAAAGGGGAAACGAAGTTCGCGGGGGCATGTTATTAGAAATATAATGAGTAATTTACACTTTACATTACTAGATTTGGCAAGTACCTACCGTATCTTAATGTTAAAAATATTTTAATATCTAGCCAACACCTGTTTCTTGTGATTCTTACTATTATACAACTGTCATTTAATATGACATGTCACTCTACTCCACGATCTCCAGCTGTATATCTGGCAAGACGCGTACGTAACAGCAAGCTGGTGGTAATAGCGGGAAGGCTGGATTGCCCTTGCATGGACTGCATGTGCCAACATGGTAAAAAAATGTGACGCGTAACGCAAAAATGTCACACTAAATTTTTTTCCAACCTCGATAAAGAAGTTTCACTTCAAAAATTAAAAGCAATAATAATTAAAAAGTTATATATATGTAGATATGTATTATAATATTTCAATTATAGATCTTAATACCAGAACAGATTATGAAATTTAAACAAACAAACTCATATCCATCCGACCTCAAAACAAAACAAAAGAAATTCGAAATTTAAATTTAAAATTCGAATATTAAATTAAAATTTTCGGAGCTGGCCCTGTATCTTTCTATTAGTGGCAGGGCTCGCCCTATTTAAGAGATTTCAACATAGGGCCACACACACATATACAGCCCATGTGTGAGTTGATAATGTAGACGCGTGCCATTTTAAAATTATATAACTTGATTAACGTTTTTTGTCATGTTATATTTTGGTTAGAATAATATAATGATTCGTAAATTTCCTTCAAGATGAAATTTCAGGTGATGCCCGGCGAAATTAACACTCAAATATTGACGGCTAATTGGAAAATTCTTATGTTAAAAAAAAGTGCGTGCGTACCAAGTACACATGTCAGAAGTGAAACTTCTTTGGCAAACTAATTTTTAACTCTTGTTCATATTTATACAAATCTAAAACTTTAGATTTCCAAGACTTAGAGGGAGGGAAAAAGGAAGATAATAGGTTAGGAATTAAATGAATTTAATTGTCATTAAAATATTAATAGTGTCGAAAATTAATACAAATTATAAATTTAATTTTTTTTAATTTATTTCTTCGTAAAAACACGTGGCGTTTTAATTTACAATTCGTCATTTGAGATTTCAATACATTATTTTGCATAAATTATAAAGTACTAATATTTCATAAATTCTCTTTACGAAATTTAAATTTTAAAAATAGAATTTCTATAAGATAATTCGCCCTTGTCACTATCTCTCAATCGGTCTCAATCGCTCTCTCCCTTTTCTTCGACAAAAACGCTGCACATCTTCGTGACGTTTCCATAAAAAATTACCCTCATGCGCCTAAAGAAGTTTCACTTAGTAAGTATTAGGTTAGACTAAAATTACTTATTAGTCTTGAGTTAGGCTAAATCGTAATGTTAAATGTCTTTGTACAGATGCAATTTATTAAAAAAAATACGGAGCAATGGCGGCTGATACCAGCGCCATTAATTATATTTTAATAACAATGAAGTCAAATTAGTTCCAAGCTGTTCTGTGGTTAATTTGTTTTGCCAATAGATCTACAAATTATTAGACTATTTGATAGTCTGTAGTAATTTTATAGTCTTGATTATTTATGCTGAAGCAATTGTGTTAAACCAGTGAGAGAGTAATTTGACTTCGATGTTATTAAATTATAATGGCAGCTGATACCAGCGCCATTGCTCTAACATATTATATAAACTTTTCTGGAAAATGTACGTTTACGCACATAAATCTTATGTATCGAACAAATTAATTGAGTCATATAATATATATATGACTCAACGTACATACTCGTATATGTTTCACTCAGCACCTTCTACCGCATTTACCATGGAAAGTGTTCTGAGGAGTTAATCAGGTTCCTGCAGCTGAATTTCATCAGAGATCGAAGCAGAATACGAAATCCCACCCGTATAACATCCGTCGTTCCACAACTGAGCGCTATTAAGGCAGTTATTGTCGCACTCAAACGTGGGACCAGCTGCCCACTGAAGTACTTCCGAACCAATTCGACTTAGGGTCCTTCAAAGGCAACGCACTCGTGAGCCCTCTGGCATTGAGTGTCCATGGGCGGTTTGACCCCTGTTCTGAGTTTTTTTTTAATTATTACCTTATGGTAAATGTATACAAAATATTGTGAAAACTATTTTAAAAGTAAAATGGAGTTTCCACCCCACTCTTCTCCATATGAAACTACCTTTTGGAAGGAGCTACAAGTGATTTCTTTTTAAATATTTTTAACTTATAATTTTAGCTTTCAAAAGTGCCTTTTTGTATGTATGTATAATAAAGTTTTTTCTTTTTCATTTATTCCAGGCAAAATAAATAGCGTCACTAAGAGTTGGAGTCAAAATGGCGGTCAAGTTCTAACGGCTAACGTAAGCCTAAAACTCTTTTTAAACTCGGCTATTTTTAAATTAACTAAACATCCTTTTTTTATTATGATTAAAAAGCTTTTTTCTTTTTCATTTATTCCAGGCAAAATATATAGTCACTAAGAGTTGGAGTCAAAATGGCGGTCAAGTTCTAACGGCTAACGTAAGCCTAAAACTCTTTTTAAACTCGGCTATTTTTAAATTAACTAAACATCCTTTTTTATTTTGTATTTCATTTATTCCAGGCAAAATATATAATCACTAAGAGTTGGAGTCAAAATGGCGATCAATTTCTGACGTGAAAACTTGTTTGTGTCCAAAATGTCCAAAATATTCCTTCCTGGGATCAACGTTAAATCTCTCGTATAACGAACAAGTAAATCGTAATTTTAAATAAATACAACCAATAAGCCATGAGAATTACTCACAGTCATTACGCAACAGACAGTAATTCTAATTATCGTGTGATATGTCACGAGATTGCATTCTCTTGTGCTTTACCGACAGGTTTATTGTTCTTTCGTATTGACGATCCAATTTTTTATTAACATGTTATATTATGTTGCCGCCCGTTGGCTTATAACTAATATAACCTGCTTTTTTGTTTGGTTTTTACACGATTTATATTAGCTTCACCTGTATGTATGTATGTATGTAACCGACTCCTTCGGACTCGATTTTGACCCACTTTTAACGGACAGATTTAATTCAAACTTTGCGCACCTGTCAAAGATCGATGACAATGCAATAATCCGAAAAAAAAAATGAACTAAAAAATAACTAAAATCAATAATAGTTTAAAAATACTAAAAAACACACTTTTAAAGTACATCAAACTAAAAAGTGAAAAATAATTCCTAATTTAGGCTGAAAATGGTAATGAACAAAAAATACTGGTATTATTGTGAAAAAGCGTGGGTTGCTCGATCAGAGCGCCCCACGCTTGATGTGCTTTAAAAGCGTGTTTTTTTAGATTTTTTTAACTATTATTTTTTAGTTTAGTTTTCTATATAAAGCGTGTGTTCTAGTTTTTTTAAAATATTATTTAATTATATGTATGATTTTGTATATTATGAAGTGTAAATAAAAAAAGGGTGCGTTTACTTATGTACGCGCGTAAGAAGTTATACTTCTTTGGCATTATTAAAAATAGTTTTTGATTGCATGCAAATAATGAATTACAATTAAATAATCAAAGACTGGAAAAGGAGTCATTATAGTCAATGAAGTTCAGTTTACATTTAAAAAATTAAATAAATAAATATTTATTATTATTCTCTTACATTAAGTGTAACATAAATCCTATTATTATTCTAATGTTGTTTTGAAATTATGTCCAATGCCGTAGCATCTTCCGTGGGCAACTTAATTCTATTAATTTTGTGTCACGGTGCGCGCGCATCGTAAAATTTCACTCTCATCAATTTTTCATAAGGCGCCTAAAAAAGTATAACTTCAAAAAAATATGTGTGTAGCGACATCTATAATCTGTGCTTACAAACTGCGATGACGTCATACCCTAAAACGCGCTAACAAAGTATTTCCAACTAAGCATATAATTAAACCTATCTTAAACCTATCTTATCTTTATTTATTTAGTACTTCACTCACTTCTATGTGCTTCCATCCTGCCCTTTGGGGTACAGGAGATGGACAACCAGGATGTATTGAATTTGGAGTGAATATTTATATTTATATTCCTTACCTTCGGCAGAGGCCAGAGGCCAGAGACCTTTGAAACGAAATATCTCTTCGAGTCCGGAGGATCTTCGACCAGTCCAACCACTGACTGTGTGACTGGCTCGAAGACCCCAGTGGCCTGTGGGCTGTGGCCGTTGCAGCTCAGCTTGGGCTGCGACTAGCGCAAGAGCGTCTCCACTCTCCTGGTCCTCACCTAGTTGATTATCTCCTGAAGTTCACAAAAGTGAGTGAAGTACGAAATAAAGGTCCACGCCTTTCATAAATATAAATTTTAAATATATGTATACCCAAACTGTATGGGTGAGGTTCGATTATTATCATACTGGTTGTCAAAAATCAGTATAAGTGCATTTAGGTGTTAAAATTAATATATTATAAATTATAATTAAAATTGGTGCCATTTCATAAATATAACCAATAAATTTACAATGTTTTATATTATGCAAGTGGGAATAAATAACAGTTTCTTTTTTCGGGAATTACCTGTGTTATAAGATACCTTAAATCAAGATGTGAATGTTTACTTGTGTTCAAACGTGTCACGTAAAAGAAATATAACAAAATATACTGAAATAGGAAAGCCTATCGAAAAGCGTTTTGGTAACCATGGTAACAACGAAAGGGGGAAACCAATAAAGGCTGGAGTACTGTGTAGGAAAAAGTCACAAGGAGTTGAATCAAAACATAGCAATAAATTTATAAGTAAATTACTAAAATATTTATTTGGTCAAAGACAATTAAAACGTAGGTATATAGTTGCTGGTCATTTTAAAAAGTATATAATAAGCAAAAATCAAGACAATCCATAGGTTTAAAATAAAATAATATTCTATGGCTTCTAACTTCTGTTAAATTCTTAAAATAATAGTTAACAAAAATAATGAGTATATAAATAAGATGGCGACAATAGTCTTAAATGAAAACTTTATTTTAAGACTATTGTCGCCATCTTTTTATTGCCAAATAAATTACTAAAGATTAAAGTACGAATATATTATTATAGATGTCGCTTATCACAAAAACAGTTATTATTACAATAGTGTTGCTAGTTGAAGATAGATCACGCTTTTATATTACAAAGCTCGCTTAACTGTAGATTTTAAAATAAAAATAAGTAAATTTAGGGCGAGATATTAAAGTAAAATTGAAAATAATGTTACGTTATCCTACTAGCAACATTACCTGTAGACTATGCTATTTACCAATTCTAAAATTATATTGTAGTACTGCTATTTTGCGATAGGTGGCGCTATTAACATTAATTAGATAGAAAATAAACGATGGGTGTCTTAGTGATAATTATCAATATTAAATAAATAATATTTTATTTTAATGTATACAATAATTATATTTATTTTTACTAATACCACAAATTGTAGTTTCGTTAATATCTATGCTAAAATATATTATAACAATATTTAATAACAAACTATATTTAAACCTATTAAATTATATTGGACATTTAGATTATTTGTAGTTAAATTTAAAATAAGAAAACAAAACTATGTTTCCGCCCGGGATCGAACCGGGGGCCTTCTGCGTGTTAGGCAGATGTGATAACCGCTACACCACGGAAACCGATATTTACGAAAGCAAAATTTAAAATCATAATACAAAACGATTAATTGCCGTAATTAAAACGATTTGTAGACGTCTATTTGGAAGATTTATTTGTTGATCAAGTTAAAACTATTTTTGAATAATAAGTGTATTATTTTAGGCAAGTTGGATTATTTTCAATTTTTATTAAATATTTTGTATGTAAACTTTTGTTTACGTTTATCATTTTATTAATGCAAGTACTGTAATCCCACCTATAACGCGGTACCCTTATAACGCCTATTCCGTCCTCCCTAGAACTCCGAGATATCTCAAGTTTTATTTCTTTACTTTGAAATTTAGTGATCTGTCACGTCCATAATTACTTGTGTGCCTGTAGTTAACTTTGCACCTGTTTCAGTAATTGTGTTGTTATAAAATTAAACTAAATTAATATTCCTAGTTTTTGAATTGTTATAAAAATTTGGATTTTCGAGAATATGCCTACAACGCGATTTCCTATTCGGCGGTAGACCGGGACCGCGTTATAGGGGAATTACTGTATAAACCGAATAAAAAGCGTTTGCGCAATAAATTGCATTTTAATAGATACATTTTTATAATAATATTTTTTACATTCATGATAAAATTAAAAAAAAATACTGTAACAATAGCATAATGAATCACTACCGCTATTGAACGCAGTGTACCCGCGTAGCATTTAGTAATTTTAATACTTAAAATAACATAAGTAGAATGGCCTCCACAAACTTAGGTACAAACTGGACCAGTGGCACTAAATCATTCAAGTAACTGTTAACTATTAATAAACAACTCTGATTGCCACAATTGAACTGATTTAGTTTCGAAATCATCATTCCTCTTCTTGTACGCAGCTGAGTATCTTGAAGTCTCTTCCAAAAAGCTCTCCATCACCCAGGGTTTGAGGTAATGGCTGGTTCAACGTCTCGGGTAGAAATAGTGATGTGAAACCAGCAGCTATACTTAGTACACCAATGATGAGCAATGGTAAAGCCTTGAAGATCACTGCCTGAAAATGTTTAAAATTTCTAAGTTTTCAATACCATCACACATAATAAATATTCAATTTTATTTTTTATTTTTAAAATCAATGAAAATAAGAGAAGAGGGCACCCTAGAAAAAGAAGTATAGAAGATAGAGAAGTGGTAACGAAGGTAGAAAGTGAATGGAGAAAGAAAGCTATGGATAAAGGAAGAGGCCTATACCTGTGAAAGGGTTCTGATCAATGGTACTTAAGGAATTTAGAATAATGAGTAGCAAGAAAAAAAATGTATATAACAAATTAAAGGGCTTTATTATTATTATTACAAATCAATGAAAAGATTAAAACTTACCAAATATACAATATAAGGGCAGGCCAGTAGACCAACACCAGCGATGAAAGACGAGGCACCCATTGCTTGAGCTCTCAAAACAGTGGGCAAAAGCTCCCCAATTTGAACGTAGAATACAGCAAAGCAAGCCGCAGCAGATAGTCTACCCAGCATGGCAAGGGACACCGTTACCCATGGTAAATCTATAAAAATACAGTTTTATTGTCATGACTTCTTCAGATATAACACAATATCTTTTGTTTCTTTACTTTCATTTGATTTTGATAAAATGTTTTAAGTAATACTAATACTAGTTTATTAACGTTAGCATATTTTTTGTATATTTTGTCAAACCCCACATTACAAAACAAAAACACAAAACATAAAGGTCCAACCATACACACCCTCACTTTCACATCATCACACAGCACAGCCGAGTTAGGTATTACTGCCGAGTTGAAATATCTGCGAACCTGGCTTAATGACATCATAAAAAAAAAACGGGAGAAAAGAAAAAAATGGGGGGGGGGGGGGGTGAAGTTTTATTTGTGTACTATTTGTCTTGATTCTTGTACTCTACTTGAAATTTACAAATACTTATTATTTACATTTATTTAAAATTCAAATTATTTACAAAATTTAAAAATAAACAAATAATGCAGGGAAACAAAAAAAAGTAGGGGGAGAGACGCGAAACTAAAAGGGGGGAAAAAAAAGTGGGGAAACTATTTTAGAAAAGCCAGGTCGAGGCAGCCATTACACCGGTAGCGCTGTCGTTTTCGTCATCTTCTATATTATCACCTCAATAAACACTAAAATGCGATTACGAAAGCACGAATTAATTAAACGTGCGTCGGCGATTGCGTTGGCAACGGTACCTGGATAGGCGAAAACGGGGCGGGGTGCGGGGAAGCGCCAGGGGAAGCGCATTCCAGCGAGGTTCGCAGATATTTCCGACGGCTTGTACATATTTATTCATTTTTATTGATGTTTTCCGTTCTTAATTGTTTGAACTTTTTTTTATATATATTATGTATTCCATCTTTGTGCAGATGTTTAGTATAATTGTTTTTTGTTGTATATAATTTATGTTAGCTGAAGTATTACGATTTACGATATAAATAAATAAACCGAATTGGATTTGGAGGATTTGTCTATTAGAAAACTTGTCAACTTCAAATTGTTGTTGAATTGTCAACGTCAATTTGTTGTTTCATTCTAATCTATTTGATCTACGTTCTATAATTACACATTCCTTCTAAACATAAGTTGTAATGGTATCCTTAAACACAATTAGGAGTAAGTGATGGAAATATATATACCTTCAGGAACTAATCCGCAGCAAACGCAAGCGATTCCTCCAATTGTAGCGAAACTAAAAAACTACCCATCGTCTTCCATACCTTTCGATACAACGCCATGCTATGAAATAAGAGGGTAGCTCTACTGCACCACCTGGAATTATTTAGTTTTATGAGATATAAATAGGTATTATTCACAAAAATACTCTTCATCTCTATTCGTAGTGAGCCTTTGTTTTTGCTACATTCTAGATTCTCCTATTACTACAGATTTTTTAACGTTTACGGTGAGAGAGTTAATGGAGACAGGAGGCATTTTCATAATGTGATCTTTCATATCACGCACGATATCAAAATTTTTGTTTGATTTTGGTTTTCTTATACTGTTTATTTCTAAATTATACTTTTAACCTCAAAAGAGTCTGGTCAGTGACTAGAGCAGCGACTCTCATCCGTGAGGTCGTAGGTTCGACCCTGGCTGTGCACCAATGGACTTTCTATGTGCGCATTTAACATTCGCTCGAACGGTGAAGGAAAACATCGTGAAGAAACCGGCTTGCCTTAGACCCAAAAAGACAGCCTGTGTCAGGCACAGGAGGCTTATTACCTACTTCCCTATTATATTGACAAATGATCATGAAATAGATACAGAAATCTGAGGCCCAGACCTAAGGTTGTAGCCCCACTGATTTATTTTACTTTCAAGAGTCTGGTCACCCACAATACAGAAATGTCCTGATATGGGTGAGTGTTGTAAAATAATGCAAAAATATAGGGTTTAACTAATAAAGTATGTAATTATTACTTTATTTATTTATAATACTTATATAGTATTTTATGTATTAATATTAATATAGGTAATAAATATTAAAGAATCCTATACGCACGGGCCCACTGATTTGGCAGATTTGAATAGCAATAAATGATTCTAGTTTCGACGCAATAATGAAAAAAATACAGTTAGAATGCTTAAATCATCAGGAAAACTTTCAGTACTCACCAATAAAAAATGCTAAATAGTCATCAACACCTAAATTGGGTGTGTTATAACTTAAGCTATTATAAGCTACACCAACAGCTACCCAATTGAAGGTAAGAATCAGGAATTTCTTCCTTATATTCGGATATCTGAATATATCCAAAAGCGAGGCTTCACAATCCCCTTCGGAATTTTGATCATCCATTATTTTATTCTCGAAATCATCATCTTCAATGCTTATGAGTCTATTTACTATTTGTATAGATTTTCGTCTTAAAGTACTCATTTGTAAAATTATGCTTTTTTCATTGTTTGATGCTTGAGATTCACTTCCGTCGTCATTTTTATTATCGTTGGCATTTAATAATGAATTCTCGTTTAATTCTTCATTAATTTCGGCTATTCTTTTAAAATCTGGTTTGAATGATGGCATATTGCTAATTCTTCTTTCTATGTATTCCTCTCGGAGTGATGTCCTTCTGATTTTCGGCATTCGACCATTGGATAGTTCGAGGTCATCTTCTTCTTTTATTGTTTTCTAAAAAGTTGTAATACGAGTTGTCAGTGATAAAGTGATTTATATGGTTACACAAAATTTGCCTTATACCATAACTTGAACAGTGATTGGATAATTGGATTCCGATGAATTTTGGTATTGAGATTTATTGGTGTTTTCTCTTTAAGTGTATGGTTTTTTGAACATTGTAACTCCAAGTAGGTGATCGGGCTTTGCGCTTGATTCATATCGTAAAATATGAGTATGAAAGAGTATGATATGATATCGTAAAATTTTGGGTTAAACCCTGAGATTCAGAGATGAGGCTTAGCGCTAAATTTTGCTTCTGAAACTCACTCTTAGACAATCATCATGATACTTTCTTCATACACCAAGCACGTGTTAATTACGCAACGCACGGCCGTTGGCGTGTACCGTGTTATTCTCAATGTAAGACCAAATTCTCACAGCCAATTTTCTTATCTATCTAGTAAGCTATTCGACAAACTTAATAGGATCCTTAACATTTACCCTAAGTTATTATTCGAAATTAAAACAAGAATTACCAAGCGACAGCTACAAATTATTCATTAAGAAATATTAGAATTAAAAGTACAAATAATTAACAACATAACAATTAAATAACAAAAATAAAAAAACATACATATTCTATATCTATGTCTGTAAAAGTTCAATATAAATTAATGGAATAAATATATATTTACAAAACATCAAAAAGGCCCTTTTAGCATTTACTAATGCCTGTGAACGAGCGTCTAAGAAATTATCACTATTCATTAGTCACATAATGTCTGTTGTAACATCGATGCGACCCACCTGCACTTTTGTAAAAATATTGTACATATTGTTAGAAACTGATATTTTTATTTTCAAATAATTTCATAACACGATGTACATAACTAACTTACCTTAAATTTTCTCGCTAAGTGAATGTAATTCTTTGAGAAATAAAAGTATCTTTGAACCGAAGCGGCGAAGTATCTATGAAGAAACTGAATTGCTAGTTTAAGAATAATTTAACCATACTTAATTTCCACAATGCACTTACACTATTTTACATTAGCACTCTCCCCCCTCACATCCCATTCATCCCATCCCTAAGATTATCATTCTGGTCAAACCTCTGAAATGTCTCAACCATGTAAAAGTGTATCTTTATATACTAAATTATACTGTATTTTTTAGTCTTAGCTTTCTATTTTTCTTTATAATATAGTATACTAGCAGACCGGCCAAGCGTTGCTGTGGCTAAGGTTTTCGTTATATTACATAGTAGTAAACTATTCAAGGGAAACGGTAGGAGAACACCAGTCATGGGGACCACCATGCTTTTTTGGTGGATATGCCATTAAATTGTAGCTTATGTGAAACGTTGGTACTTTCAACTCATCGCCATCTGTTAGAATTGTGACTATCAAATAATTAACAAATCATTTGCATTAAAATAATATTGCGGGTATAAATTGAGATGTAAGCTATCCTATCTTTTAAGTTAGATCAAACCGCACACGGTGTGCAAATTTGATTGAAATTGGTTCAGTAGTTTAGAGAGTCCATAGCGGACAAACAACGTGACACGTAATTTATATACCTATATTAAGATTGGTTTCAATTATTCTTAGGTTAATATTTCATTAAACCGTTGGAAGTGTGGAGTACCCTGATGTACTCCCTAGACTTAGTTCATGGGCTCCAATATCTGCTAAAAATGTAACTTGTTATTGAATAAAAAAAATTGAATTCTATAATCTATGCTTAAATTATAAAGAGGGAATGTTTGTGAGGTTGTAGGGGGTAATCTAGTGAACCGCTTCGGTAAATTACTTTACCAATAAAAAGCGACGTTATTTTACTCACAAATATCGTCGCGTAATAAACTTATTGGAAAGAGTCAGATCTGCGAATTAAGTCGGAGAAAAAACGGCGACATGAACACGTTTCTCACGAACATTGTCTGAAGAGGTTTTAGTGAAAAAATTTAAACGTTATAAATAATACATAATCGTAATAATAGTCTTACGTGTAACTCCAGTAAGAAACCTCGCGGCAGAGTGATTCCGTTTCTCTTAGCAATACTTATTAAGACCTTCTCAGCATCAGCGATTCTCCCTCTTCCAACCAACCATCTTGGTGATTCTGGCAGAATAAAGACGTATCTGAAACATATGTTTTATCTACTTTTCACGGCTTACATAAAGCAACTTGGCTATTAAAAATAATGGCGGAAAGTTTATTGCCAGTTCTTCTTTTCCGTTCTACGCCCTTGATTTGAGAACTGGCAGTAAATGTAAAATAAGAAGCATTAATATGTATTTTTTTGACGTTCATAAGTGTACATTTTGTTACCTATATGAACAAATGATTTTTGAATTTGAAAACTTGATAATGAACACTAATTATTAAAGTGTTGATAAGCCCATCATTATCAGAAACTATTAAACAAAATATTCCTAGTAGGGTTTCTAATAAAAAAAACTTGGTCATCTGGTTCATCTCCCTGTATAAGCTGTTCTCGTTGTGATCGTTTCCCTAATTTTTGAATTTGCAGAATTTCATGACATTTTCCTGATACTCTATTTTTTTATTTATTATAATGAATATTTTTTAAAGGTACTGTATTTTGCAAGGAAACTAGGGACCCGAAATTATTATTGTACAGGGATTCTGGTGTACGTTTACTACGACTAATTTAGTTAAGTGATTCAAAAAAAAAATTTCTTTTCTTATCGCCACAAAAAAAAGCCAACATCACGAGGTGTTCCCAGGCGGTCACCCATCCAAGTACTGACCTCGACGTTGCCTAACTTCGGTGATCGGACGAGAACCGGTGTATTACAATAGCAAATAGAAAAAAAGTGTCGTTACAACTTTTGGTCTTAATTTTTTCCGTCTAGCCCCATTTCGCAACGCGCGATAAGGAACTTCGTTCCAATAAATAATGTCATAAAGACTGTACCTCGACACTTGGCACAGGCGTCAATAACAGGTTCCTACTGTCGCACTTTATTTAATATTTTCTCTCAAACATCACACGAAAATCAGATACTTATGAAATTATATTTTTTGGCGTCGGGACGTGACGACCCCATCGCCCACTGGTGAAATAACCTGTGACAGAGGTTATTTCATCAGCGCAATCAAGTCAACCCCTTCCTAGTGGGAGTGCCATGCTGTTGCCTTCGGGCTTCAGCCAAATGGGCAGGCACGACCGGGGCAGTACCACTGTCTCTCAGAAAACCGGCGTGAAGTGATGCAATAAGTTCACCTTATTGTACTCGCGTTTCGTGCGGTGAGAGAGCGACGTCCAATCCCATGAAATATGAAGGTGCTTTTAGAAAAAGAGAATCTACCCCAGGGGGTACCAGACACGCGGCTCGCGGTGATAAGAGAATCCCCCTCTGGGCGTCCAACACCGGGACATTCAGCACCCGGTGGTGGACGCAAACAGGCTGCCCTTCGTATTCTGGGGGGCACTTATTTTGCGCTCAACATCAAAAACAGTTATCGTTCTCGGGGCAAACGGAGCAACTCAACAAAGGCACCCCCGTCCACGCTCGCTGTGGACTTCACAAATGTTAGGGGGCTCAATTCTAATATCAACGCAGTCCACTACCATTTAGAGACTGCGAAGCCGGCCTTGCTCTTTCTTACCGAGACTCAGATTTCCTCCCCGGCTGATACTTCCTACCTCTCCTACCCGGGGTACAAATTGGAACATTCATTTGTGCCGCGGGCGGGAGTTTGCGTGTACGTCAGAGAGGATATCTGTTCTCGTCGCCTCGGGACGCTTGAAGGAAGGGACCTATCTAACCTCTGGCTGCGCGTAGACTGCGATGACCATCCGCGATTCTATGCATGCCTGTATAGGTCCCATAGCGGAAATACCGAAACTGACCGACTCATTGAGCACATCCAAATGGCTACAGATTCCCTGCTCGAAAGGGTTCCTACCGCTGAAATCGTGATACTTGGCGATTTTAACGCCCACCATGCCGATTGGCTCGGCTCAGAAACCACCGATCATGCGGGAAGATCCTTTCACGACTTTGCTTTGGCTTATGACTTGACGCAAATGGTCCCTGCGATTACGCGAATACCAGATGTGGATGGTCATAAACCCTCTTTGTTGGACCTTCTGCTGACTTCACATCCGGAGAACTACCAAGTCTCTGTTGAACCGCCATTGGGTTCATCAGATCATTGTGTGGTCCGGAGCATTGTGCCGTTCACGCGCCCTCTTCGGCCTAGCTTCACGGGCTGTCGCCGCGTGTGGCACTATAAGTCAGCAGATTGGGATGGGATGTGGTCTTTTTTGCGTCCTACCCTTGGGGCCCATTTGCTTTTCGTCGAGTACTCCAGATGCCGTCGCTGACTCTGTCGCCGAGGTGGTCCTGCAGGGTATGGAACTCTTTATTCCATTCTCTGCGGTGCCGGTCGGTGGCAAGTCCCAGCCTTGGTTTAGGCGTTCCTGCAAAGCGGCTTTGCGCCGTAAGCGTGAATGCTTTAAAGCCTGGGCAGAAGCGGTGACATCCTGTGATGTGACTATCGGCGAACGTAAAAAAGCATACAATTCAGCCTCCAGGTCCTTCAAGCGAGAAATCGCTAAAGCAAAGTCAGAGCACATTGCCAGATTTGGTGAGAAATTGGCCCACCTCCCTTCGGGAACTCGAGCCTTCTGGTCTCTTGCCAAAGCTGTCCAAGGGAATTTCTGTCAGCCCTCAATTCCACCACTGCATAGGGAGGATGACTCACTTGCCCATACCGCGAAAGAGAAGGCCGATCTTCTAGGCTGTCTCTTTGCGTCGAACTCCACTTTGGATGATCAAGGGAAGGAACCACCGACATTATTGCGGTGTGATACTACGATGCCCGAAGTTATATTCCGGCAACGTGCTATCCGTAAAGCTTTGTCTTCCTTGGACATCCATAAGTCGAGCGGGCCTGATGGCATCTCTCCAATTGTGCTGCGTACTTGTGCTCCTGAGTTGGCTCCGGTCCTAACGCGCCTTTTCCGGTACCTTTACACGCTCGGCACTGTTCCGAAGTGCTGGAAGATCGCTTCGATACATCCGATCCCTAAAAAAGGCGATCGCTCTGATCCGTCCAACTATCGCCCAATAGCTATAACCTCCTTGTTCTCCAAAATAATGGAAACCATTATTAACAGCCAGCTCTTGAGGTATCTAGAGGGCCACCAGCTGATTAGCGATTCTCAGTACGGCTTCCGTCGTGGTCACTCGGCTGGTGACCTCCTTGTATACCTTACACATAGGTGGGCAGAGGCAATTGAGTCCAAGGGGGAGGCGCTGGCGGTAAGTTTGGACATAGCGAAAGCCTTCGATCGGGTGTGGCACAGAGCACTGCTCTCGAAGCTTCCAGCCTATGGGCTCCCTGAGAAATTATGCAACTGGATTTCCAGCTTTCTCGCTGATCGGAGCATCAAAGTCGTCATCGACGGAGCATGCTCCGACCTGAAACCTGTGAATGCTGGTGTCCCACAAGGCTGTGTCCTATCCCCGACCCTGTTTATTCTGCATATCAATGATATGTTGCAGCTTAGCAACATTCATTGCTATGCGGACGACAGCACTGGGGATACTTTTTACACTGGCCGGGCAGGTATCTCTCGGGCTGTTGTCGATGAGTACCGGAACAAACTTGTGTCTGAAGTCGAAACTCTTCTACGTGGAGTCTCGGACTGGGGTAGACTAAATCTAGTCCAATTAAACCCCAAGAAGACACAAGTATGCGCGTTTTCCGCTAAAAAAACTCCCTTTGTCGCTACTCCCCTCTTTGAAGACACTCTCCTTAAAGCCTCAGCTAGCATCGGAATACTGGGCGTTGACATATCGAATAACGTTCAGTTTCGCGGTCATCTGGAAGGAAAGGCTAAATTAGCCTCCAAAAAGCTTGGTGTGCTCAGCAAGGCGAGACGGTACTTCACTCCGGGCCACCGCTTGCAACTATATAAAGCGCAAATTCGGCCCCATATGGAGTACTGCTCTCACCTCTGGGCGGGAGCTCCCCAGTACCAGCTCCTTCCACTTGACCGTATTCAACGAAGAGCGGTTCGAATCGTCGACGACCAGTCACTTTCCGTATGGCTTGATCCCTTGGCGTTGCGTAGAGATGTGGGATCTCTCTGCATCTTCTACCGCATTTACCATGGAGAGTGTTCAGAGGAGTTGTTCGGTCTAATACCTGCAGCTGAGTTTCATCATCGGACGTCAAGGCAAAATACAAAATACCATCCGTATCACCTCGACGTCCGTCGTTCCACAACAGAGCGTTTTCTAAGGCAGTTTTTGCCGCGCACCACCACTATGTGGAACCAGCTGCCCATAGAAGTATTTCCGAACCAATTCGACTTAGGGTCCTTCAAGAAAAGAGCGTACCAATTCCTGAAAGGCCGGCAACGCACTTGCGAGCCTTCTGGCATTGTGAGTGTCCATGGGCGGCGGTATCACTTAACATCAGGTAAGCCTCCTGCCCGTTTGCCTCCTATTACATAAAAAAAAAAAAAAAAATATGTATTTTTTCCTACAATAAAGTTCACAAAAGAAGTATGGGCGAACATTGAATTTTATAGAGATATTATTATAATGAATGTCGTCGCTTCGGTAGAAGGAGAAATTCTGACCAATTTGTGTTTCATCATCACATAATTATAATTAAGCTTTTATAATTTATTAGATAATTTTGAAAATTCAACGTTGCCAGTGTTTTAATGAATTGTGAGACTTTTAGCGATTCATTTCGTTAAAGAACGTTTAATAATAATAATTAAGTTGCTTTTAGAATAACATACCCGAATAATAGTAGAAATGGTAGGCTCGTAGCTAGTGATAAGTAGAACCAATCACGAAGTACATACGCTAGTAGAGCGAGTAAGCACATACCACTTGCAAACAGCATGCCAACAACGATTCCTGAAAAACATAGGCATTTATACAACTAACAATAAAATGTATGTATAGACTTAGATGTTCTGACTCGTATTCAAATTGAAAAATGTGCCCGGCCAGAAAGGTTTGTAATCTCTGACATGTCAGAAAATGATAGCTGTCAGAATTCTACGTAATAAAAAATCAGAGTATGGTAAATTTTGAATTTTGTTCCATAACAACTTACCAGCATTTGTTCTTTGTGCTGGCGGCATTAATTCTAAAGCAAGTATGAATGGTAACTGGTATAACGCTGGAAAGAACAATCCACAGAATATCCTCAACACGACGTAGATCCAGTAATTTCCAGGGAATGAAGTGGCGATTGATAGAGGCACTTGGAGAATAATCATTAGCAGGATTGTGGGGCGTCTGCCATATCTGAAAAATTAAATAGTCTCTAGATCAGCCTTTCATACCTGACAAGGTCCAGGGATGAGAGCGCTCTTGCTATTAGGCTGGCATTGTTATTATTTGTCCTTTGAAAAAGGGCGGACAAATTTAAAAAAAAAAGAAGGAAAGGGGCAGTGTTGGCCTAGTGGCTTCAGCGACTGACGTTATTGGTTTGAACCCCGGCTGTGCATCAATGAACTTTCTATGTGCTCATTAATACGAGCACGTACGTTGATTTCTCATTGTGAGGAAACCAGCACGCCAAACCCAAAAAGTCAACGGCGTGTATGTCAGGCATAGAAGGCTGATCACCTACTTGCCTATTCGAAAAGCTAAATGGTCATGAAAATGGTTTATTTTTCTTCTTTATTTAAGGGCAGCGTTCTAATGCTTCTGTCAATAGAATACTTGTATATACGACTCAGTCCAGTCGTTCAGATACATGGATGATAAAAAGAAAATATGACTAGTACCTGTCAGACATCCATCCAAAAAATAGGTTTCCAAAGATAGATCCGACCCAAAATAAAGCATTACTGGTACGCGGTAACCAGTCAGCATCGCACACCAATAAGTACTGAAAATTTAATGAAATTTGTGAAGTGAAGTTTTAAATTGATTACTTGAGTTATGTAATTTAACTAATGTTATCTTAAAAATATGGTGCCAGTGGCGCCAGAGTCTTTGCGAAAGGAGCACGTAGGTGTCGCTGAGAAAATTGCATTTACTATTTTTTGTAATATTGGTCTCCAACCTGTGTATCAAATAATGTGTAGCGAATCGTAGATACGCACTAAAAATGTATATACTCTTTTGTGTAGTATTTTCTCTAGGATTTTGATGTATGTGTTAACATAAAGATAGGACACTAAGGAAAGAAGAAAACAGACGTCACTCAGACGGACTTTGAAGACAAGTGAATATATATATGTTTTTCTTCCTTGAGCGTTTCTATGTGAATATAAATTAATTACTCTTGTTTGTGAAGAATAAACCAATTAACAAAGATAAAAATGGGTTGTGATTTATTTCAAGCACATCCCATAAATGGATCAGTTATCTGATATCATTTTTGCACCCTAAAGCTTCCTTTTTGTGATGACACTAAGTTTCTTTCAGTTACATTGGTATGCCTTTAACAAAAGAAGATCAAATTTGCTCACACCACTACCACGCATTCTTTCTATCTGACTTACATAATTAGAACTTAGAAGTCTAACATAAATTAATTTTATGCAGCTAATCATTCATATCAGGATATAATTATAAAAAATCAGAGAGTGGCACAATATCGGAAGAAGACGAGACAACATTGCAACCATTTATAAAGATGGTGAAACTAAAAAAGTTTGTGGCATAAGGAGTTTCAAATGTCAGATCTCATTTTAACGACAAATAAAGAGACATAAAAAGAAACTGTTGCCGTGTTTTCACCAGGAGCATCTGGAGCAATCGCTGGATAGCTTATGGGAAAATGTCTGGTATGACAGTTAGTACTTATATTACTTAGAAAGTAAACTATATTAAGTATGAATATACTAGGGATATGAACTTTATTGAACCAATTTTTGGAAGAAATTTTTAATCAAGTCATCGGATATTTCCATCGTCCAGACATTAGAACGTTGATTTATAAACCTGGAGATGCCAGTCAGTACCTGGGTAACCAAAGTCCGTTTGTAAAGCTCTGTGCTGAAACTCCATCCGTTCTCGCATTTCTTTGCTTCATCGCTACGTACAGCGAGTATGGCTTCTGTTATAACCGAAGTCTAAAATTAAAAAAATAAACATTATATTAAATAAAACATTTTTTTCATTAGGGCGGGGAAGAAAATAAGAAACCTGAAATAAAAATATGTACACTAAAGTTTGCTGTCCCTTGAAGGGGGATTTTTTCTTCATCGTCATTAAAATATAAGGTGTTCCCTAGACACATCGTTAGAAAAAAGAATCGGTAAAGATTTAAGGTGGCGTCTGGTAGATAGTACCGGTGACCCCAGAGCTGCTGCTTTCCTCGCTCAACGAATATGTATCGCAATACAGCGAAGAAATGCTGGCATTATATTTAGTTATTATTATTATGTAGGTTTAAAACAATGTAAATTCTGTATATTTGAATGTTGGAAATATATATAAATAATGACTTCTGTATAAAATTATGTGTGTGAATCTTTTGTATATATGGATAAATGTTTCAAGTAATAAATTAGGCTTTATTATTATTATTATTCTAAAATATAGTTCAATCCCTTACAGATACGTTGAATGGAAAACTTTCGTTCGTGTTGACATCCTGGGACCTGAAACAAAAGCTCAAAATTATTACAGTTCTGAAATTAGATTCTTAACCACCATAATAGTACATATTATGCCTTCCAGACTAAACAATTTTCCTCAAATCGAACCCTGAACTTCCATAGACTAACAAAACATTTATAAACAACGACAAAAAAAAAAAAAACGTTTCTTATTTACAGTCTCTTAAAATAAATGTACTGATTTTTTTGTTTATCGTTCGGTGATTAAGGCCAAAAAGTTCAAAACAATGTACTTTTTGGTTATCTGCCAAAAAACATTCATTGTGGAAACAAATGAATTTACTGATCAGATGCTAATAAAAATCCAGGTTTCGTAGTGATTTCTTAATTTGTTCGCGATCAGATATTATCGTTATGTCGCGAACACAGATTGAAAAACATCGGATAGTTAAAACAAGAAGTTCGTTGGTTCGTCCTTTTAAAAGTTTCTTAATTTACTGTTATCCTTGAGCTCGCAAGTTCGATCCCCGGCTGTGTATAAATGTACTTTTTATGTGCGCATTGATCATTCAGTGAAGGTAAACATCGTGAGGAAACCTACTTCTCTTGATTTACAAATGATCTTGAAACACATACAGAAATCTAAGGCCCAGACCTATTTTTTTGTGTATGACACTTGAATGACCTACACGAACTCCAAGTGTCTGATTGTCAAGCTCGGTTCTCTAGTTTCGAAGGCCAAAGCTAATTTTGGGTTACAGTAAAGATTTATACTTTTTTATCATTTATATACTTCAATAAATAAAATAATATTTTGTCAAACTTATTAGAAACAATAGACGACCGTTGTAGTCTGAACGTCTTGTAATATTAATAGTGAGATTTATTTAAATTTATTAAAAAAAGGAATCAGTATAATTGAAATATTTTAATCAAAATTCTATCTCTGTCTGACTAATTGTGTTAAACTCTGTTAAAAAGAGACAAGCAATTAAGTTTAAACGGCGCAAATGTTTTTTTACATTGCGTCATTTGATAGCTTATAAAAAATCGTTTTAATCGTAAAATTAAAAAAAAAATAGAAAATGCCTATTAAACCTTTCCAAATAGACAAAGAACTCTCTCGTATCGACGCTGTAAGCTTTGCAGCTGTCAAAGACACCATGCTGTTCTGGTACGGTCAAGTTTCGGTAGAGCTCGTCTTCCAGAACCCTCAACTCCGGAGGAGGAGCGCACCAGTGTCCAGGTGTTGCGTTTGTGAACACCTGTAATATAATATATATTATGGTTAACTGTTTTACCTTTGATTTGACATAAAATTCAAATGATTCTTAACTTTATATATATTTTATTTAAACTAGGAGTACATGCGCTTACGTTCTAGACATTCGTCAAAATTTCCGTCGTAATGTGCGGTTAGGCCCTTTCTCCACTGCTCCGGTCCGACGTCGGATACCGGAATGAGTCATGAGAAAAATATCGGAAGGCCGGATTACGCTTCTCCATTATATCCGATCCGACAATAACCGATACTTGTGTATTTATCATGCAACACTTATATTAACTAAAACCTGGCTAGTTTATTACTTTTTTTATATTATCTATCTTGAAATATTATAATCTACTTAATAAATAGTTCACTAATACTATGGTATAAAAATATAAATAAATAGCAACATAATTTGGTTTGGTCCAGGTTATCCAGATTCATTCAAATTAAAGAAACTATAAATAAACCTGTGAATAATAATTTATAACCTCTTAGATATACTTGGACCGATAAAACACCGCGTTCCGATCTAGCAAGTTATCGGATCGATAAAAACCGGATGCCGGAGTAGTGGAGAAGCACGTAAGTACTGTTGTGAGTTTCTAAATCGGATCGGTAATTAACGTTTACCGGACCGGAGCAGTGGAGAATCGGCCTACTGTGTAGTCCGTAATTACGTTTAAACAGTGAAACAATCGTGAAACAGTTTTGCGGATCTTCAGTCTAATTAGAGAAATAACTGTAATGTACAGTTAGTTATTTTTTAACTATTGACACTAAAAACATAACAACAATGTTAAAATTGTCGAATAGGAAAAAATAGCTTTAATTTAATATGTATGTCTATATGTAATGTACATAGTTTCCTAGCATGTAATAGCATTACCTTCTTTTGTATTCCTAAAAATAATAGATTTTGCTTAGGCTTAGTACTATAAAAATAGTGTATGTATATTGTCAATAATAAATTTGTATTATTTATTTAACTAAGAAAATCATTAAAAACTGGCTGCACCAGCAACGGCTTACCGGTCTTAGTTTTAGCATAAAACAACGTTTAGATATAGTAAGTAAAAATTTATTTATTCCGAATGTACATCGAAATTGTTTACAAAAACTTCGTTATAATAAAGCTATATTTTTAAATGCATAGTAGCCTATCAGGCACGTGATCAGGCAGATCTGTGGCTGAGAAGCTAGGCAGCAGGCGAGTGTCAAATCTCCCTTTCTTCTTCTTAAAAGTCTTCTTTATTTTCTTAAACTGAGGTCTTCTGGGCTTGGCGTCTCCCGCCGGGCTCGGACGACACCTACTCCGTAAATCCTCATGATATTTGCGCGAGCGAGTCGGAGCCCGCTACCTCTTATACTATTTGGAAGCTGGCGTATCTCATAGTATGATAAAAGCCCTTTATTCGCTGACCTTATTAACTTACATGCTATTCTAAACAGTAGTATTCTTAAATCTAATTTACATAGCAAAAATAATAAATTTATTAGCAACCACTTTGGTCAGGTTGTCTGTCGACGTAGGCCAATTGTTTCCACGTCTCTCTATCCTTGGCAGTCCTTTTCCATCCTTTTGGTAGATTGTCCCTTCTTTTATTTATTTATACATTCTAAAACAATGTGTATGCTTGACTCACAAATTATATTTATGGGGAAAGTTTTTGCCAGTTCCTTACCCTCGTGTGAATACAAGAAAATATATCACAAATTTAACACACATACACATCAATTACTAGAACATAAGCAATCTATCAAAGGAAAAAATTAAACAAACTACCACAAAATAAAAATAAAACAAAACAAATAATAATAATAACTAAAACTAAAAAGATAAAAAATAACAATAACTAAACTACATCAAGAGCAAAACAAAGTTACGGTAAGTTGGTAGACTGTTCTAAAACACATCAATATTTTCATCAATGTTTCTAATTAAGTTGTAAGAGCGAGATAGCCTATTCACTGGACCATTCAAAGTAGCAGATAATAGATTTTAATTTGACCTCCTCGTTTTCTTTTCCCATTCCTCGGATTCTTAGTCCATTTTCCTCGTCTAGTATTATCTGAATTGATCTTAGAATAACATAACAAGTGTGGTCTATTAACCATATTACATTGTATGAAAATGCAAAATATTAATTACCATAAACCTGTCCTGCACATAACAAGTTCAACTAATGGTATGCTAATTTTTATTCTACGCGCTCGAACGTGATCATATGTTCATGATTTATTAGCTACTTGACAATTTCCACGGTAGATAGAGGTTTGATAATAATAAAAACATTTATTTAGTATCATTAATAAAATCAGTGGCTCTACCTTTTTATGTCTGGGCCTCAGATTTTTGTATCTGTTTCTGTTTCATGATCATTTGTCAGTCTAATATGTATGATTTTTTGAGTCTAAGGCAAGTTTCCTCACGATGTTTTCCTTCACCGTTCGAGCGAATGTTAAATGCGCACATAAAAAGAAAGTCCATCGGTCCACTGTCGGGGACCGAATCTACGACCTCAAGGATGAGAGTCGCATGCTGAAGGCACTAGGCCAACACCGCTCTTGCATGTACCCAATAAATACATTTACATAATTTTAACCTACGTAACATAATTTTAACATACATTCTACTATATGTTTTTATAGAACACTAGTTATTAGCAGCGAGTTGGTCAGGTTGTCTTCCGTCATAAGCCTCTCCTTGTTTCCACTCGTCTCTTTCAGGAGTTGATCTTCACCATCCTTCCTTCAGTCTTTCTATCTCTTTGATGGCCTCTTTTCCTTATCTCTGTGATACCATTCTATGACGTCTTTCGTCCATTTTTCTTCTTTCGACCTTATGTTATTCTCAGTTCGAGTCCATTTAAGTTACTTAATTTTTGGTTAATACATCGCATTTTTTCATAATTTTTGTGGTATCTGTCACACTTATGTTCAACATACTACGTTCCATGTCCCGTTGACTACGTACTTTCCAATTGTTTTTGCTAATTTAATAGTCCCTTATTAATAAAAATAGCGATTCGTTACGCCTGTATCACATACGACTCTGGTTTCGCACGGGCAACCCTGACCCGTGAACCTTGAAGATATAACATTCCTCATGAATTATTTTTATTTTTATTTTTATTGAACAAAGAACAAACGGGCAGTAGGCTCATGATGTTAAGTGATACCACCATGGACACTCAATGTCAGAAGAGAAATTAAGAATTGGTACGCTCTTTTCTTGAAGGACCCTACGACGAATTGGTTAGGAAATACTTCAATTGGTGCTGCACCACATAGTGGTGGTAGCTGGTTTTTTCTTCGACTGCAAATCCGACTACCACGAAGTTATTTTTTGCGTTAATATATAGCCAAATAATATGGCTTAAAAAACCAAGAAGTAGAAGAGGGCCCCAAAAAGGTGGATAGAAGAAATAGAAGCGGTAGCAGGAAGCGAAAGGAGAAAGAAAGCCATGGAAAAAGCTGGACGAGAAAAAAAAATATAAAAAAATATTCTTACTCGTGAATAGGTTCTGATCAATGGTACTGAAGAAAGCTAGGATATTAATAAGAAAAAAATGTGTATAACAAATCTAAGCTGTATCTTTTACTTTTGTAAAGATTGCCAATTACACGGGCTATTAATATTATTATTGGTTAAAGAATTTTCAATCGATTCATTAACAATATTCTTAACCAACACAATAATAATAATTATTAAAAATTGATAAATAGAAAATTAAAATAAATTTAAAAAGTTTGGTCCCTGTGGCAGTGTACCTTCAATGCTGGCTTTTCCTACTGAATTGCGATAGGTACGTTTATTCGTTAAGCGAGGAAAATATATTATATATATTAGTAATTAGTGTATAAATATATACTTGTTTGCACTGATTTACACACGGTTTATATGAGCCGAGCTTAATAAAAGACATATTAAGAAGTTTTAATATTTTTATAATGAACTCATTAATATCGCTGTAATAATATTTGTGCTCATGTTTCTGTAATGTGTCTTAGTGTTCTACGATGTTTCGACACTGTTCATATGTTCGACTTGCACTTGCACTAATCACTACTCTAGGTTTATTAACTCAACAGATTTAGTTCTCTTTAGGCGTCCTTTTTCATGTTGTCAAGAAGTTTGATTGCCTCAGCATCAAACTGCTAATAATATAAAAAATAAGTTTACTGTGTGCTAATTGGGTAGCCATTTTGATGACTTATATCTATTAATGTCCTTATAAACAGGAAAAATAACATTCCCAACGCGACTGTTTACAGAATGGGTGTCCATGGCGGCGAAGTAACGTTTTAAAACCTACCGGGCCGACCCGTAGGTTATAAGGCACCAATTTTATAACAAAATAAGATTTATTACGCTGATGACGTCATTAAAGTAGGTACCGTAAAAATAATACTAATACTACTTACACAATCTTTTATGAATTAAATTGTTAGTAAGTCTTAATTTGTACCCGACCTATCTTTAGAGGAGTTATCTATTCATAGAAGGAAATCTTATTTTATTTCAGAAATAAACAAATGCCCATGAGCGACGGCATTTTATTTAATGTAACCTGCTTGCTCGTTTGTTCTTGACCCTTGAAAAACAACTATCAAGTGTCTGGTTAACGTGTTTCTTTAAATAGAACTTCTTTGTCAGTTAAACCGCGAATTTATCAATCCCCGAGGGATATTATAAGTTTGACTGCGTATTTGTCTGTGGCATGGTAGCTCCTGGACAAAGAGACTGTTTATCATGAGATTATTTGTTGAATGGCAATTAAAAATTGAATAGATGTCTACATGTTTAATCAGTGTAAGCGTTGTGCCTCTCTTACCCACCTCATACATTGAAAACCTGGGTGCACCCATTGAATTTTAATATCAACTTAATTGGTAATAGGTACTAACTTAATAATTAAAATAATAAATAAGTGTATCATTACTCCAAACTTTACCTATTATTAATTTAACACTTGGAACAACTCTGTATGCTGGTACCACTGAACAACTCTGTATGCTGGTACCACTGAACAACTCTGTTAAGTGGTACCACTGAACAACTCTGTTAAGTGGTACTACTGAACAACTCTGTTAAGTGGTACCAGCATTAAAATGTTTATTATATACAATCAAATCGTCGGAATATTTAAATTAGTTTTAATTTAGTTTACTAAAAAAAATTAGCTGGATTAAAAACATTTTTTGGTCAAGTTCTTGTCTATTCAGTTTTCTATAAATTTCAAAAGGATATGTATAGTTGCAACCATTTCTGAGAGCCTTCCCAATTATAACTAATACAAACAGTATTGTCTTTGATAAAATAAGTCCCTATCGGAGCCGTTGAAATAAAACCCTCAGTGGTTTCTAAATGACGAACTGGCTATATATTTTACTATTTTAAAATCTATTAACTATCTATTTTACTATTATATAATCGATGAGCAGTGTTGGCCTAGTGGCCTCATACCTGAGGTCGTAGGTTCGATCCCCAGCTGCGCACCAATGGACTTTCTTTCTATGTGTATTTAACATTTGCTCGAACGGTGAAGGAAAACATCGTGAGGAAACCGACATGTCTTAGACCCAAAAAGTCGACGGCGTGTGTCAGGCACTGGAGGCTGATCACCTACTTGCCTATTCGATTTAAAAATGATCATGAAACAGATTCAGAAATCTGATGCCTAAAGAGGTTGTAGTGCCACTGATTTATTTTTATTTGCTAATCGAAATGAGCAAGCCGTGTCGTACGTTCGAACCCCACTTTGAATTTTAATGTTTTGCGCAACATATACTTGCCTCAGCATAAAAATAAGTAATTCACATATATATTCACTGCCAGTTCTTCTATTCCATTCTACGCCCATGCTTTAAGAACTGGCAGTAAATGTATATTGCAAAGTTTTCTTAAATCCTTACCTTATTTTGTGCCCTGCCCCACCTTAGCCTACCTGTAGTGTATTGACTACCTTAAATTCTTATGTCCCCATATAAAATACATAATATATATATAAAAAAATTAATTGTTTACTTAAGAAATTTAAATGATAGGTTTCAGGAAGAAATCACTAGGAAATTGTTAACGAAACAATAAGTAAATTTTGAACACATAATGAAATTCAAATTCCTAATAATTTTAATAAAGATTTTTCTTTATTAATTTAGTGAGATGCGCTTGATGCTTGCTGCACAAAGATTTTATATTAGGTTCCAATTTGGTTAGTCTCAAGATTGCTGGATGTTATCTATATCCAGCTGATTAAGATGGCCCCCCTTATCAATCAAATTGCCCCCCTGTGGAGCGTGGGACCTACGTTGGGAACCACTGGTCTAGAATGAACTTTCATGAAGGTGAAAAGAGTGTATGTGAGTCTTCAACCCACGTTTGTAATACCTGAGAAAACACCAAAAATGATGTTGGTATAGCAGCCAATCCACAGAGCAAATAAAATAGCAAGACATGCCACCACCCTTGCTTTGTTGCTAAGATGGAAGCCTCATCTAGCTCCCTGGTCCATGATGACATTGTCACCTATTCTTTCTCCACAGACGCATTTTATCACTTTCACAGATAATCGAAAAAGGAAAATTTCAAATTTCAAACACTTTTTACCGGTTATAATTTAAATGCCAAGTCTTTAGTACTTGTTCAAATAAACACTCAGTTTTTGCGGTCACAATTGGTAAGCGAATTGTACAATACGGGCGCGTCGTTTCGCTTGCCGTTAAACACTAAAATAGCACGCAATCGTGCGCAGATTAATTAAGGCTGACTGTAGCAAAGCCACCACAGTCACAGAATTTCCTTTTTGATAAATGACACTTCAAAAACCTAAAAATTTTCGTAATTGTCATATTGGTATCATTATAAGACTGTTGTATACTAAAACAACGGTCACTATGAATTGTAGTAGTTTTAAACGTAAGAATTAATCAACTAGGTCAAATAACCTTTACAGAGCAGTGGCTTCAGCGTGCGACTCTTATCCTTGAAGTCGTAGGTTCGATCCTCAGCTGTGCACCAATGGACTTTCTTTCTATGTGTGCATTTAACATTGAAGGAAAACATCGTGAGGAGACCGTCTTGCCTTAGACCCAAAAAGTCGGTGGGGTGCGTCAGGCACAGGAGGCTGATCATCTACTAGCCTATTAGATTTACAAATGATCATGAAACAGATACAGAAATCTGAGGCCCAGACCTAAAAAAAGGCTGTAGCACCATTGATTTAAATAGTTTTAATCAACTTAATCAAAATCGTTTATTCGTATAGGTAACACAATGTACACTTATGAACGTCAAAAAAGAAATATATATGAACTGCTTCTAATTTTACTTTTACTGCCAGTTCTCAAATAAAGGTTGTAGAACGGAAGTGAAGAACTGGCAATAAACTCTCCGCCACTCTTTTTAATCGCTATTTTTTTGTTTTACACAATTTTTGTAAGGAGCTGCAACCATTACACCATGTTTCACATGACATCTTAAGTAATTCATAATAAAATAAATTAAAAACAAAGATTTGTCCTCTATCAGCAGGAGGCATGGTGAAATAGGAGCACGCATTTATATCCTCGTGAGAATAACAAGAATAGAAGACGTGAGTGAGAGTTTCCTTGAGGGACGACATATTTTAATCCACCTTTTTTTATAATACGACCTTAAATTAATTAAAAAAAGAGTATACTCCTCCCGCAAAGGCCGGCAACCTGACTTCTCTTTTTGGACGTCCTTTTCGTTTTCCTCTCCTATAAAAATAAATATATTATATTTGTATTCGTTTTCTCTAGTAGTTCGGTAGTAAGCTGCCTAACAAAAAACATGTTCGTACAAAAATGTTTTTATCAGATGGTAAACAATAAATCAATAGTATGAATTCTCAAATCAGAAAAGTGTATTGGTGATAATGAATTTGTACCATTAAACCTTTTTTTTATCACTAACGAATTTTTTTAGGTAATACATATTTGTCAAGTCTGTGTGAAAAAAAATACCAATAAAATCACAAACGGTTTCTATATAAATAAAGCCACAATAAAGTTTGTATTCGTATGTCTTGGGTTCGTCAAGGTCCTGGTTTCACCCAGTTTTCATATTACCCATTGTATTAGATGAAGAAGAGTTGAAGAGTAGTAGAGCAGTGTTGGCCTAGTGGCTCCAGCGTGCCACTCTCACCTGAGGTCGTAGAATGCCGGGCTGTGCACCAATTGACTTTCTATCTAAGTGCGCATTTTAACATTCGGCCGAACGGTGAAGGAAAACATCGTAAGGAAACCGAGTTATCTTACTCAAAAAGTCGACAGCGTGACAGGCACAGGAGGCCGATCACCCTCTTGACTATTAGATTGACAAATGATCATGAAACATATACAGATATCTGAGGCCCAGACCTAAAAAGGTTCTACACTGATTTATTTTATGTGATATCTCTTTGAATACTTTTTGTTTTATTTACAATTTATTCTAAAATAAATGACAATTTCGTTTAACAAAATGTGTATAAAGTTACAGTTATAAGAGATAAATGATTATATATGATTCACACCGATTGACCTAGTCCCATGCTAAGCTGGTGAAGCTTGTGTTATGGGTACTAGGCAACGGATATACATACATATTATACATAGATAGGCATATAAATACATATTTAAACACCCAAGACCTAAGCACAACATCAAATGCTCATCACATCGATGTTCGTCTCAGCCGGGGATCGAACCCGGGACCCATGGTTTCGCAGTCAGGGGTACTAACCACTAGACCAATGAGTCGTCGCATTATCATTATATATCATTTGTTAAAGACTATTTTGATGTAGGATATTATTATGTAGATGAGTAGAAATATGTGATTTAAAATGTTACTGACAATTATTATATATAGGTTGTTATTTATTTATTGTGGCTAGGTAAATTGTATAAGTTAAATGTACGTTTTTATAATCTACTAGCTGCCCCAGCGAACTTCATTTCTCCTTAATGCCTAGCCTCTACCTTTTTAGTACATACCAAGATGGAACATTTTGCTGGCTACCCCCGAGACTGTTCGGTTTTACGGAATGAAAACTTTTTAGGATTTTCTGTCTTTTTTCAGAGTTCAAGTTATAAGTTCTTAACTAACAAATAAAAAATAGGGGTTGATCGTAGATGGTAGATGAAAATTAAGGGTTGAATGTCATAAAAAAATAAAAACAATAAAAATTGTTAAATTTTTTTTTTGCGTGACACCCCTTATTCTTAAGGGTTTGAAATATAGATAGAAGCCGATTCGCAGACTTACTGAATATGCATTAAAAAAATCATAAATTTTTAAAAATAATCGGTCGAGCCGTTTCGGAGGAGTATGGGAAGGAACATTGTTACACGAGAATTTTATATATATACTAGTGGACCCCACAGACGTTGTCCTGCATGATATTTAAAGCGATTAGGATATTAAGCAAAGTATGAAAGTACCGACTGCAGTGCCATCTGCCGGGCTGATTTGTGAATCTAAACCATTCCCAGATCCCCTTGAACACACACAAAAAATGTCATCAAAATCGGTCCAGTCGTTTGAGAGGAGTTCAGTCACATACACACGCACAGAAGAAATATATATATTAAGATGATAATTGATAAGTGTAAGAATAAACTTCAAAGGTTTAATTAGATTAAATATATTTACCGTTTTTATATAATATAGCAACAGCATAAATGGCCCAGTACATTATGTACAGACTCCGCATATAGAAAGTTGTTACAATAATCCTTGACACAATTAAACATTCTAGATCTTACCAATCCTTCGTCTTAGCTGACTTCAAAATTAAGTCAAACTCAAACTCAAATTCAAAATATCTTTATTCATGTAGGTAAACAAGTACACTTATGAATTGTCAGAAAGAAGTCAAATTAATTTTAAATTTACATTTACTACCAGTTCGCAAGTCAAGGGCGTAGAGCGGGTAAGAAGAACTGGCAAGAAACTTTCCGCCACTCTTTTTAATCGCCAAGTATTGTCATACAAATTGTTTGAACTGGAGCAAATCAATCCCAAGGATCATTTAAGTATTCCTCAAACTTATAAAAAGCTTTATTGATTAATTTTCGTTTAACGAGGGCTTTGAATTTATTTAGTGATAATTCTCTAATTTCGCTTGGGAGTTTGTTGTATAAACGAATACAATTTCCATATAAGGAGTGGTTTATCTTTTGGAGCCTGGTTGGTCGTACACTCAATTCTCAAATTAGTTCTAATTCGCGTATTATACTGGTGAAAGTCACCATTTTTTTTAAAGTCATTTGTATATTAAAACGACTGTTTATTGTAGATTAAGCGAAAAACAATTTCCCTTATCAAATGAATTTTTGATCGGATTATTTTTTTGTTTATCGCTTTTATCAGCCTACACATTTGTCTTACACATTCTGATAAAAAAACGATAAATCTAAATACTTATTTGTAATCTTTATATTATTTTTAACTCGCTGCCCCGCGAACTTACGTCTTAATACGATATGTTACCTATCCTTTTTACCATAAAAACCTTCCTCACTCAAGGAATTAATAAATAAAATACCCGAATTGGTCCAGCCAATATTTTGCGATTCATTTTCGCTTATATAGACATGTTTTCTAACGGACAGCAATAGGGTGAAGCTAGAGAGACGTGGAGCGAGGGGAAAATGCCAGGCTGATCGATACGGTTAACTATGGCCGACCTCTGCCCCAGTCAAGGACTTGGGACATTTGGACAAGTAGATGTAGTTAATGCCGCTATTAAAGACTAAATACACGTGGTCGTTATTTGAAAAATATATTTTTAATAAGTGTATTAACAGATGTGTCGGAATTAGAATAAAACGGTGGACCATTTCAGCAACTCCATAGAGACCTTTTGCCGAGTCGTTTTAGCAACCTTTTTTGCTTTCTTTATTTCTACATAATTATGTATTTAGATTGTATATTCGCTGTTACTTGGCGGGCCTATGCGACTTCTTCAATACAAATAGTCCCCTCGTGAGTTGTGTGCTGCGATATTGCGTGCTACTTGATTGTGAGGAAGTTTCATGTCACTATCATCTTTTCTATAACATATTTCCATAATTATCTGATTGTCCTCATTTTAACTTGTGTGTTTGAGAGCCAAAATAAAATAAGTATGTAGGTACTTTAAGTTACTTGTACCTACTGTAACTTGGGACATGTGCTTCGACGCGAACGGTACCGACTTCTTCAAGTCACCATGATGCAGGCAAGGTAAAAGAAGCGCTGGCAGAAGGAGGAAGTCGGGGCTCCACAATATCAGAGGATGGACGGGATTGTCCAGCGTATAACAGCAAATGCGTTTGGCGAAGAATAAGAAGAAGTATGACCGCCAACCTCCAGTAGTGGAAAGGCACAACAACAAGAAGAAGAAAAAGTATGTTATTACTTTTCGTTGTAAAGAAGATATTCAAAACTATAATCAAAATAAAACACCGCGAATGAAACCGCAGTCGGAAGTTAGTTGACCTATATTAGAGGGCCCTCACGGTTTATACTTC